TAAACTTATAACATATAATGTATTATTAGTGAAAATTTCGTCTTAATATTTCAAGGAAATATTTAAACTTTTACAATCCAACGGTCACTTATATATTCTTTCTTTTTTCTTTCTTTTAATTTGCTTACTTTTGTTGAAAAATAACAATATAAGAATTAAGATACAATAAACAAAACTTTTTTTTTTTTTTTTTGTTTAGAAGGCGATAAGATGAAATTTTAATATTGACAATATCAATCTGATAAAACAATTGATTTCGAAAATAAATTCAACCATTGTTTCGATTTTTTTTTTAAATTGTATTGCATTAAAACACCTATCTCTCATTTAAGGAATTATCCATTTGATTAATCTGATTTTGTTATACAATAAAATTTCATTCAGAAGAAATATTTTGCATGAAATTTTATTAGACATTTTGAATTTAAAGTAAAATGATGTCGTATTTCGGTTTACTATCTTTGTTCAATAATATCATAAACCTTTTAAGATAAAGAAAATAACCTTGTGGGTAGCAAAGCCTTATGGATAAAAATTGAGAAATAATCAACAAATAAGCATAGCATTTGGCGTATATCAGTTGAATGTAGGTCAAATAGTACAAAATGAAAAACATAATCGAATAGGAGAAAATTTAAAAGAATGAGCAATTTTACAATTTTTCAAATCATAATGTGAATAAATTGACTATATGTTGTGAAAGGTCATATGATTTTTGAAATATCAAATTGAGCAAATCAAGTATCAAAAGATGAAAATGAAAAAAGAGAAATTGAAATGAAGAGAGGATGTTAAAAATTCAGGGAGAAATTTCAGAAAATCCGTTTCAAAAGAAAAATCAAAAATAAATGACTTTTGTATTTCACAAAGCAAATTTAAAAAAAAGAAAAAAGAAGGAACTAAGAAGGATGAATGAAAGAATAAAAACACAAAAAAAAAAAACAATAAAAGTAACCGTCTTTTTTCTATTATTATCATTTTTGTGTTGTTATTGCTATTGCTATCGCTCTAATGGGAAAATGAAATTCTGGTGAGAATTTTGAATTGGATAGGATTAGATAAATTGATGAGCATTAATCGTAATAGTAAATGATAGAATAGTACAAACTGTTGCATCAGTAGCACTATTGAGTTTAGTAATGTAAATTGTCGCAGCGAGTGATTGATGAGATGATCGTCATTGAATGTCGTCAAATTGAGGACCTCCTAAACGATATGGTTTTCTTTTAGCATTAAAAGCAATCATTCTTTCATTTTATGGTTAGATATTTCATGCAGATTTGTAATAATATTACACAAATTTTCATCATTAACTTAATTTTAATGAATGGATCAATTTTTGAAAAAAAAGAAAAATTGTCCATGAATTTTTCAAATGTTATAAATTATCATCTATAAACAGTTCAATATCAACTAAATAAATTGATTCATATTTATTAATCTAATATGTTACAAGAGTGCAATTTCATTAGAAATATTTGATAGACTACATAGATGTTGATTTTATGGAAATTTGATCGTTCTGGATTGATATAACTTTCAGACTGATAAATTCAAAACTCAAAAATAATCACTTTTGTGGTTGGATAGATAAGTGATAATTTGATCATGGCTTAGTTTTGTAAACAAAGATTTGCGAAAGAATTTATCCACTACGTTGATAGCTGAAAAGATCAGTGCTGGAAAGGTAAAACAGATAGACAATATTGGTTGGTGCTAGCGCAGCGGATAGAGTTATTGTGTTTTCTTCACGAGACAAATACTACATACGCTCTCAAAGACGGTAACGGTCTTAGGATGGTTGTCACCATGACGCTTGATTAGAGGCCAAAGTGGACCAATGACACCTTGGTCAATGTGTCCTAAACTAAGAGATTATTTCAAACAATTCTTGTGCCTCTTTTTTGGGACACAAACCTATTGCGTGGTGAGCTCACCGTAGCGTAGGATCTCAGAGAGACAATCTTGAAGACGAAAGACAATCCATCTTGAAGACGTGACCGGTCCAGTATAGTTGTCCCTTAAGTAACGTGACCTCTGTACTAATAAGCTTGCTTGTTGAGGGCGATATATTGGTCATCTGGGCAGTGTAGCTAAGTAAGGTGTGTGAAATCAACAACCTAATGCAAACATTCAAGGGGTCATAAGTGGCGGCAGTGAATTTCCTTGGGTAGCAATGCCCAGTCTGTAGATTGTCTTCATCGAATCAGTCTTCGGATTTCTTTGATGTGAACCCTAGGCATTCTGTGGAGGACTCCCGGATACTATTTTTGATAATTAGCCAGAAGGTTGCAGGGAAGGAATCCATAAAGTGACCTACAAGTCCAGTTTGAAGTTTGCCTGGAAATTGTTTTTTATTGCAATAATTTCAAGATTATTGCTTTAGGCCTTTTCGTGCGTTATCTCTTTTAGGTTTGCCCTGAAAGAGACTGAGCTTGCATCACACAAGGCGGTCATCGCTGCTTATCTCGAATATGACAAACACAGGGAATGCACCTTTGACGCACTAACTGTAGTCGATCAGGTGATCAAGGATGCGTTCAGGTTGTTTTTAGGCTGTCTTGCTGCTGGAAGATAATTTTAACCATAAGCCGTCTCACCCGAAAAGTCCATGTAGACGCGAAACTCTACGGGAGCGACCACTGTCATTGCTGTTTTTTACATCCACGTTTACCCAATTTCATTCTGGGCTTCCTACTTCGAGATTAACATTAAAATCGCCAAAAATTATGTTCTTTTTTGTGTATAGAAAAAATTGTGTGCAGAAAAAACGGCGAAAGGTCAGTGTAATATGATTTGCCCTGCAGAATCATAGTAAAGCAGATATGCTAAATAGGATCATATTAATGAAAATCAACATTTGAAATAATTTAAAAAACAATAATTTTATTTAAATGTTTGCTTCTGTCTCGTTTCGTGCGATGAATAATGAATCACTGCTTTGATGTTTTTTTTTTTCCGCATTGTTTTATTGTGTTCCTCGAACGGCTTAGCCACTATTAGTGAATCTTAGTGTTTGGCACATATCTGGCAATTGTAAAATATATAATTTAAATTCATAAATTTCAAGGTGTTATCGGATCATTTGAAAGCTTAGATTTTATCAGCTAAATCAAACAACCAACATTCCTTAAATCCTTCACTGTGAGCTTCAGAATTCAAATTAATCACTGGAAGATTCAATGTTAATATGTCATCAGCAAATTACTGTTGTAGATCAAACTAACTTCGTTGAAATTACCGTGTTTTTCTCATTCGATTTCAAATCCTTCCTATTGGTTTGGTACTGTTAAGGTTCTTATCATGCTGTTTATCGTAATCACTTAAATTTAAGTGGTTTTTGTGAGATTACTGAAAAAGATGAAAAAGACGTTAAAACTGTTCTATCGGGCGTCACATCGGAAACGGTCTGATAAACGATCGAATCTGTGTTCTTATTTCACTTCTCCCATTTTTCCTTTTCTTCATTGCCTGTTGCTTTTTCGATGAATAAAGTATGACCACTTCAACTACCGGTTGGTTGATTGATATGACTAAACTAATACGTTATTCAATCATGTGTGAACAACTTTAACGATTGCTTTCAACTGACCGCCACTTTGCTTTTGTGTCATGGCTTAGCTGTAAATTAGTCCTCAATTCTGGGCCATTTATACTGTTGAAATGATAAATTATGTGCATTATTTTGCAAGAACTAGAAGTATAAATAAAAGCAAGGGTAGAATATATCTACCGAATTTTATTTAAAATCAGTATTCATTCAAATTGAAATCAATTCATACAGATCACACTTCTTCTATGACATATTTCTTTAAGAGAGTCTACAGATCAGTTTGTCCTGTTGGAAAGATCCGCTATAGCAATCAATGCAAATGTCTTCCGCTACTATCATAAATTAATCTGAGTCTGACAATTTAGTTGTGACCATTGTACGATTCTTCTGTCTACTAAAAAGAAACGTTTCAGAAACTGTGTCCAAAGCAATAGAATACCTATTGATTAGACTAGTCACCGCTAATTAGTGCGACACCGACTGCTAAGTGTTATCAAAGCAATTCTTCTAGAAATCTATGGTGCAACATTTTAAGTAAACAATTCTCTATAGTTAGCTTATTCAAACGCTATTAAGAAAGCAAATTATTCATCATTAATATAGTGTTACGCAACACAAAGTCATTATTCGTCTCCGGTTTATATTAAATCGATCGGCAATAATTTACTGCAAAGATATTTAGTAAACAGTGTTTTGTCACATTTGAAAGTTAAGAAGAAATCAGATTTTCCGGAAGAATCGAACATAAATTAAGAATGATCATTGCTTCAAAGCCTAGTTATCGTTTTTTGCTTTTGCACTAAAACTATTTTATTCAAAAGATTTTCAATAAAACGAAAAGCTATTCACAAAATTTTCAGTTTTCCAGTCATCCTTTTTTCGTTTTTCCATATGTTTCTCAATTTTATAACATGTATCTTCGGTTCTGCACCTTTTGCTAATGTTCCGGAACAACAGGAAACAAACGATATTACAATTAAAAAGAGCTTTTCAAAGTTTTAATTCTTTGTTAAAATTTAAAAGCAATTTATTATTGGTAAAAATATTTCATTTAAACATGAAATTCGTCTTTTGAATGAAACAAAACCTTTCGTTATTCATTCTAACCTATACTTGCTTCACATTGTTCTGAATAAATAAAAGGAGCAGAATAATTTCTTCCCCAAATATTCCCCATAAGTCAAAGGTGAGGGTTAATTGCAAAAGGGTATTCAATTTCGGGTTAAATTTATAACTGTCAAATTTAATTGATGTCCCAAGACTCTACCTCCAGTACCTATCGTCGTCCAATTTTCTCTGGCCAAGTTACAATGGCTTATACAGTCAGAACATTACTTTCTTGGCATACGTAATTGTCAGAACAAAGGATCGAATATCGATAGAGAAGCAACATATCACTCTATCTCGAATATTAATTTTAATTTCTATTTTTTTTTTCAGATTGACAATGTCGCTTAAATGTCTCTTTGCAATCTTTCTGGCGAGCAATGCATGTAAGTCTTCATAAGTTATCTTTCATAGTTATGTTAACTACATTTCTCACTAATTTGCAACACAAGTGATTAATCCGGAATTGTATTCCGGGACCAAATAATATCAGTATATTTGCTGATTATACGAGCATCAAAGTCGGATTAAATAATTTATCATTGAGTAAACTCAAACGGTTCTTTTTATGACTGTAAGCATAAGTTTTAACACCACAGAGCGAAAAAATGACACTGAACGAATTAATTCAAATGTTTAGATCCAACCCTGCAAAAAGATGGCACAGCAAATTACAACGTAAAAACGGAATCAGAATTACATCCCATTCCTTTACCAGTATTTCCCGAAACTTCGTCACTTCCTGAACCTGAAACTTCAACACACATGAAAGTTCCAGATGACTCAGAACGTTATCCCATTTTTCCACCCTTATTTCCTGAAACTTCGTCACCTCCTGAACCTGAAACTTCAACACATATGAAAGTTCCAGATGACTCAGAACGTTATCCTATTTTTCCACCCTTATTTCCTGAAACTTCGTCACCTCCTGAACCTGAAACTTCAACACATATGAAAGTTCCAGATGACTCAGAACGTTATCCTATTTTTCCACCCTTATTTCCTGAAACTTCGTCACCTCCTGAACCCGAAACTTCAACACACATGAATGTTCCAGATGACTCAGAACGTTATCCTATTTTTCCACCCTTATTTCCTGAAACTTCGTCACCTCCTGAACCTGAAACTTCAACACACATGAATGTTCCAGATGACTCAGAACGTTATCCTATTTTTCCACCCTTATTTCCTGAAACTTCGTCACCTCCTGAACCTGAAACCTCGTCACAAATGAAATTACCAAGTGATTCAGAAGGTCATCATATTCCTTCACTGATATTTCCTAGAAGTTCGTCATCACCTGAACCTGAAACCTCGTCACAAATGAAATTACCAAGTGATTCAGAACGTCATCATGTTCCTTCACTGGTACTTCCTGAAACTTCGTCATCTCCAAGTCTTGAAAAATCGACACATATGGTCATACCAAGTGATTTCAGTACGAATTACGACATTAGAACAGAATCAGAATGGAATTCATATGCTAAGCAATTCAGTGTTTTACCGTATTTCCTGAATCACCCCCTCCTGAGACGTTGACATTTATAATTTTCACTCTAATATATATTTTTTCCAATATCTGCTAGAAGTTCACTTTTTTGGAAGCATCAATGCACATTATCATAATGTGTAGAAATGCAAAAATTTTAGTGTGCCGATGGAGTTAATTACGAAACTTTTGATTTGATATTAATTAATAAAAATAAACATTTGAAATAATTTAAAAAAAAAATAATAATTTTACTTAAATGTTTGCTTCTTTTTCATTTCTTGCAATGTTGAATCGCTACTTTGATGTCTTTTTCCGCTATTTTCCACTGTGTTTCTCAAACGCCTTAGCTCCTATCAGTGATTCTAAGCATATGACGCATATTTGGCACATATACATTTATGATGATTTTATTCAAAAAGCAATAAAAAGATAGTAATATATTTTGGTAATATTAAAGTAATGTCAAATCATTTTGACTATTTAAAATTTATCAGCTAAATCACGAGACTAAATCAGAGTTCTCAAATCTTTCATGGCAATACTTTGGTATTCAAAATAATCGCAGGGACATTTCTGAGAGATTCAGTTTTGTTGAAAAGAAAAATATTAATATATCATCAGCTACTTATCACACATAATTATTTTCACACCAATTTAACAATAATATAGATTAAAGAAATGAAAAAAAAAAAAACAAACAAATCCGATAATTAATAAATGTTGAAAATATTGAAATTCATTCAAAATTAAACCTAATTTGATGAAGATCAAATGCTTTTATTATATATTTTATGATACCTTAGTTTTCGACGAGTAAAGATGATGCATGAAAAAGTAACAGATTCATTCTTATAGAATTTCTGGAAAAATCCATTAAATGAACTATTGCAAATGTTTCTCATCATATCAGTATAAATGCATCTAAAGTATAAAACATTTGCAAATGAAATGTGATTGCTGTACAACATTTCAGCCTATTGAAAAAGGAAATGCTTTCAGATATTGTATCCAAAGTGAGAGAAATACCTTATCCTATTAACTAAGTTAGTTTTTCGCTAAAAAGTGCAACGAATGTCAAGTGTCATCGAAAATGCTCCTTCTAGATGTTAAGAGAATATTTTTATATAACTCTCAAACATAAATTAAGGAAGATTTGAAACTATCAATGCTTCAAATGCCGAACTATTGTCTTTTTTTTTTTTTTTTTTTGTTATTTTGTTTTTGATTTTTTTTTTACATCAAAATTTTGAAACTATTTTATTCAAAAGATTTTCAAATAAAATAATTATAGATGCTATTCATAAATTTCTCAATTGTGTAGTCATCCTTTTTTCTTTTGCATGTTTCCTAATTCTATAACATATGTTTTCAATTCTCTATCTCTCAGCTAGTTTTTTGGAATGACTGTTTTTTTCATTGTGTTAATTGTTTGTTAAAATTTTTAATCAAATTAATAATTGTCGAAATTCGTCTTTTGAATGAAACAAAACCTTTCGTTATTCATTCTAACCTATACTTGCTTCACATTGTTCTGAATAAATAAAAGGAGCAGAATAATTTCTTCCCCAAATATTCCCCATAAGTCAAAGGTGAGGGTTAATTGCAAAAGGGTATTCAATTTCGGGTTAAATTTATAACTGTCAAATTTAATTGATGTCCCAAGACTCTACCTCCAGTACCTATCGTCGTCCAATTTTCTCTGGCCAAGTTACAATGGCTTATACAGTCAGAACATTACTTTCTTGGCATACGTAATTGTCAGAACAAAGGATCGAATATCGATAGAGAAGCAACATATCACTCTATCTCGAATATTAATTTTAATTTCTATTTCATTTTTTTTTCAGATTGACAATGTCGCTTAAATGTCTCTTTGCAATCTTTCTGGCGAGCAATGCATGTAAGTCTTCATAAGTTATCTTTCATAGTTATGTTAACTACATTTCTCACTAATTTGCAACACAAGTGATTAATCCGGAATTGTATTTCGGAACCAGATAATTCCACTTACACATCGCCTGTGTTCTGCAAGTATTCAACTCGCTCTAATAATTTATCATTTGGTAAACTCAAAAGGTTATTTGAACGTACAGAAATATATAAGCTGCAAATTAATGAATAAAGTACTCGAGTGATCGAACTTGTTTTTTTGTTGTTCGTTATTCTTATTATTATTGTTTTGCCTTTGTTGCTGTTGTTACTGTTGTTGTTATTATTGTTATTGTTGTTGTTATTGTTACTGTCATTGTTGTTGTTATTGTTGCTATTATTGAAACTCATAATTTCATCTCATGTAATAAATAATGAATACAGAGCTATGTGGTCTTATCTGTTTTTATAGATTGTCAGGATTTGAGCTGTAAACCAGAATATCACTATAACAAAGAAACCAATGCTTGTTACAAAGTGAGAAGCTAAGAAGTTTTGATTCAAATATTTGCAAATAATTTTTCTCTTGAATAATCACATTTGCAACAAATAAAATAATAAGCGCTCATTTTGTGATATAATTTGAAACTCACACAATACTCCGAGGCATATTATAGGATAATTTTATAAATAATCTATTTTTTCTTTAAATGTTAATTCCAAGGAATCAGTATTTTCCATTGGTCTGAAGAATTGAACATCGTTTTGGTTAGTAACCAAAACGATGTTACTCTATAGTTATTTGTTATAAAGTTAAACATATTTACATGTTATTATATCTTGTGGGATCATGTTATTATATCTTTGTTTCATTCCCGATTAATCTTTAATTATCGTAAAAAAACATAAATGAATTTAAATTTCAATATAACAATTGTCGACAAAAATGTTAAAAAAAATTTTTTACTAATTTCATGGAAATTTTTGTTAAATTCACATGTATGTTATGCATTCGCTTATGTTTCTTTTCAAAATTTCCACTCATTTCCATGACATAAACCAATCTCATAGAATTTATCTAATCATTGTTTTGGACGATTTGCAGTTGTGCGTGACAAATTCAACAAATCATATATTGTACAAAAGAAAATGCTGTTCAAATGCTGAAGCAAATTTTCTTCACGGCATACATATTAGATATATAAATACATAGGATAAGTAAGTATATTGTGGGTTACGTTAACTCTATAAATGTCACTAAAGAATAGATATAATTTCATTGTGTAATTATTTTCATTTTGAATTTTTGTAAAAAAATTTCATTTTGAAATATTTCGGATTTAATTGGTCATAGTCTGTAGCAAGTTACAAAGTATTAATTGATATAAAAAGTGATAAATGAATGAATGATAATACATTACTTCACACCGATTGGGAAACAAAGTGTTCGAATTATGGTGAGTGTGCCGGAAGTCGAGTTGAATCAAACGGAATTACATCAAAAGTGGGTAAATGGATGAGAATGTATTTGCATTCTTATGTAAAGGAAAAGTAAACAAAATGCATGGGAGACAATGCCCGGAGATTGTGTTTATCGTCCACGTAGTGGTTTCTGTTATGCGGTAAGTTTCTTTTTTTTTTTTTTTAATAATTAATTAAAATTAATGCTAATAAAGATAGAAATGTACTTATTGTAAAATTATTCTATCGTTGACAGTAAGTAATTAACAAATCTTTTATTATGTATCAATTTCTTACATTAATAAGCGATACAATTTCGCATTCAAAATGATTCTTTTTATTATTTATTAATTCAAATCTTAATTACTTTTATCAATTCAAATAAAATCTTAATATTACTTTCAAAAAAAAATCACAAATCAAAATAATTTATAATTTAAGCACGAATAATGTCAAAATATTTGTATTAGAGAAATATTTCTCACTCAAATGATTCATCACATAAAATGAATGTTATATCTAATGGAATGAATCATTTATCTAATTCTCATCTTTACTTCCGATTATAAAGCTTATCTTTAATATGATTTCAAATATTGGCGAATCATTTGATATATAAATATCTTCATTTTAATAACTTATATCTTATGCTGTAATCAGCTCTTTGCTTTTGCTTCTTTTCTTTTTTTTTGGGGAATTTCACAGTAATTTTTTTTTTTCAGTAAATCATATATCCATATAAGAAATTTGATTTCATTATTAGAGTTTCTTTTTTTTTCTTTCTTTGTTTTTATTACTTATCACTTTTTTTATGCTTTTACTTACTTATTCACGCTCGCTTTAAAAATACTCGCTCCTACAATTTCAAAATATTCACCAATTTCTTACCATATCAATTCCCATTTAAGCTTTGAAATAATTTCTTCAACAAAAAACATTTATTAAACAACTAATAATTATCATCGATCTTTCATAAAGAAATTAAAATGTAAAGCAGAAATTAATCACATCAAAGAAAAAGAAAAAACTTTCACAACAATAGCAACAAGCAGTGAGAAAAAAATTAAACGAACCAGCAAGAAGTAAGATAATCAAAAATTTCACATTAGAAACTTCATACCGAAATATTTCCAGCAGTGATGTGATATCAACATTACTGCTTGTTTCTAGATAAAATCACCAAAAGCAAATATTACGGTCTATGAAACAGTTAGCTGCAGGAATGAACTCAGAATAATGGTTTCTGTACATTCTACAGAAGAAACGCAATTCATCATCAGAGGTGTTTTCAGTTCTATCAATAAATTATCAATAAAATATTTTAAGAGATGGAAAATTAAAAATCTCAGAAAAAGTTTAACAATATGTAAACTTTTGTTTCATAGTTTCACGCAAAGAAGATCATAGTGACTTTTTTTTTTTAGCTAACATATTTAATTTTAAACATCAGAACTGGTGCCTCAAAAACCAAGTGTAACGGGGATTTATCTTGGTCTGATACATGATTTTGATCAAAACAGTGAATATTCCTGAGGAGATGGGACGATATTTGATTATCACAATTGGAATCCCACAAAAGCTAGACAAAATTTTGAAAATAATTGTGCCAAAGACTGGATTTTGGAAACAGATTTCATGCACTCAAAAGACCATAAACGAATTCACTTCTACTGCTAACAATAAAGGAATTATTTGTAAAACACTTCCTATATTAAGAAAAAATCATTTATTAAGACAATAAGAAAGAAAGGCTTAATTTGAAATACAAATTTGCAATCAATTCAGCTTATGATTTAATGAATGTATTAACACCCACTGTTACCACCATACAAAATGAAGCTAGTGCAACAGATTTTAAGATGAAAAAAAACAACAAAATGGCAACCTCATTCTTCATATTATACATCTTTTCCAATATTTGCTAAAAGTTCCCCATCACTTAATTTGGAAACATCAACGCCAGCATCATAAATCTAGAAATACACAAATTTTAATGGGCTAACAAAGCTAATTAACATTTGAATTGATATTAATGAAAATCAACATTTGAAATAATTTAAAAAACAATAATTTTATTTAAATGTTTGCTTCTGTCTCGTTTCGTGCGATGAATAATGAATCACTGCTTTGATGTTTTTTTTTTTCCGCATTGTTTTATTGTGTTCCTCGAACGGCTTAGCCACTATTAGTGAATCTTAGTGTTTGGCACATATCTGGCAATTGTAAAATATATAATTTAAATTCATAAATTTCAAGGTGTTATCGGATCATTTGAAAGCTTAGATTTTATCAGCTAAATCAAACAACCAACATTCCTTAAATCCTTCACTGTGAGCTTCAGAATTCAAATTAATCACTGGAAGATTCAATGTTAATATGTCATCAGCAAATTACTGTTGTAGATCAAACTAACTTCGTTGAAATTACCGTGTTTTTCTCATTCGATTTCAAATCCTTCCTATTGGTTTGGTACTGTTAAGGTTCTTATCATGCTGTTTATCGTAATCACTTAAATTTAAGTGGTTTTTGTGAGATTACTGAAAAAGATGAAAAAGACGTTAAAACTGTTCTATCGGGCGTCACATCGGAAACGGTCTGATAAACGATCGAATCTGTGTTCTTATTTCACTTCTCCCATTTTTCCTTTTCTTCATTGCCTGTTGCTTTTTCGATGAATAAAGTATGACCACTTCAACTACCGGTTGGTTGATTGATATGACTAAACTAATACGTTATTCAATCATGTGTGAACAACTTTAACGATTGCTTTCAACTGACCGCCACTTTGCTTTTGTGTCATGGCTTAGCTGTAAATTAGTCCTCAATTCTGGGCCATTTATACTGTTGAAATGATAAATTATGTGCATTATTTTGCAAGAACTAGAAGTATAAATAAAAGCAAGGGTAGAATATATCTACCGAATTTTATTTAAAATCAGTATTCATTCAAATTGAAATCAATTCATACAGATCACACTTCTTCTATGACATATTTCTTTAAGAGAGTCTACAGATCAGTTTGTCCTGTTGGAAAGATCCGCTATAGCAATCAATGCAAATGTCTTCCGCTACTATCATAAATTAATCTGAGTCTGACAATTTAGTTGTGACCATTGTACGATTCTTCTGTCTACTAAAAAAGAAACGTTTCAGAAACTGTGTCCAAAGCAATAGAATACCTATTGATTAGACTAGTCACCGCTAATTAGTGCGACACCGACTGCTAAGTGTTATCAAAGCAATTCTTCTAGAAATCTATGGTGCAACATTTTAAGTAAACAATTCTCTATAGTTAGCTTATTCAAACGCTATTAAGAAAGCAAATTATTCATCATTAATATAGTGTTACGCAACACAAAGTCATTATTCGTCTCCGGTTTATATTAAATCGATCGGCAATAATTTACTGCAAAGATATTTAGTAAACAGTGTTTTGTCACATTTGAAAGTTAAGAAGAAATCAGATTTTCCGGAAGAATCGAACATAAATTAAGAATGATCATTGCTTCAAAGCCTAGTTATCGTTTTTTGCTTTTGCACTAAAACTATTTTATTCAAAAGATTTTCAATAAAACGAAAAGCTATTCACAAAATTTTCAGTTTTCCAGTCATCCTTTTTTTCGTTTTTCCATATGTTTCTCAATTTTATAACATGTATCTTCGGTTCTGCACCTTTTGCTAATGTTCCGGAACAACAGGAAACAAACGATATTACAATTAAAAAGAGCTTTTCAAAGTTTTAATTCTTTGTTAAAATTTAAAAGCAATTTATTATTGGTAAAAATATTTCATTTAAACATGAAATTCGTCTTTTGAATGAAACAAAACCTTTCGTTATTCATTCTAACCTATACTTGCTTCACATTGTTCTGAATAAATAAAAGGAGCAGAATAATTTCTTCCCCAAATATTCCCCATAAGTCAAAGGTGAGGGTTAATTGCAAAAGGGTATTCAATTTCGGGTTAAATTTATAACTGTCAAATTTAATTGATGTCCCAAGACTCTACCTCCAGTACCTATCGTCGTCCAATTTTCTCTGGCCAAGTTACAATGGCTTATACAGTCAGAACATTACTTTCTTGGCATACGTAATTGTCAGAACAAAGGATCGAATATCGATAGAGAAGCAACATATCACTCTATCTCGAATATTAATTTTAATTTCTATTTCATTTTTTTTTCAGATTGACAATGTCGCTTAAATGTCTCTTTGCAATCTTTCTGGCGAGCAATGCATGTAAGTCTTCATAAGTTATCTTTCATAGTTATGTTAACTACATTTCTCACTAATTTGCAACACAAGTGATTAATCCGGAATTGTATTCCGGGACCAAATAATATCAGTATATTTGCTGATTATACGAGCATCAAAGTCGGATTAAATAATTTATCATTGAGTAAACTCAAACGGTTCTTTTTATGACTGTAAGCATAATTTTTAACACCACAGAGCGAAAAAATGACACTGAACGAATTAATTCAAATGTTTAGATCCAACCCTGCAAAAAGATGGCACAGCAAATTACAACGTAAAAACGGAATCAGAATTACATCCCATTCCTTTACCAGTATTTCCCGAAACTTCGTCACTTCCTGAACCTGAAACTTCAACACACATGAAAGTTCCAGATGACTCAGAACGTTATCCCATTTTTCCACCCTTATTTCCTGAAACTTCGTCACCTCCTGAACCTGAAACTTCAACACATATGAAAGTTCCAGATGACTCAGAACGTTATCCTATTTTTCCACCCTTATTTCCTGAAACTTCGTCACCTCCTGAACCCGAAACTTCAACACACATGAATGTTCCAGATGACTCAGAACGTTATCCTATTTTTCCACCCTTATTTCCTGAAACTTCGTCACCTCCTGAACCTGAAACTTCAACACACATGAATGTTCCAGATGACTCAGAACGTTATCCTATTTTTCCACCCTTATTTCCTGAAACTTCGTCACCTCCTGAACCTGAAACCTCGTCACAAATGAAATTACCAAGTGATTCAGAAGGTCATCATATTCCTTCACTGATATTTCCTAGAAGTTCGCCATCACCTGAACCTGAAACCTCGTCACAAATGAAATTATCAAGTGATTCAGAAGGTCATCATATTCCTTCACTGATATTTCCTAGAAGTTCGCCATCACCTGAACCTGAAACCTCGTCACAAATGAAATTATCAAGTGATTCAGAAGGTCATCATATTCCTTCACTGATATTTCCTAGAAGTTCGCCATCACCTGAACCTGAAACCTCGTCACAAATGAAATTATCAAGTGATTCAGAAGGTCATCATATTCCTTCACTGATATTTCCTAGAAGTTCGTCACCTGAACCTGAAACCTCGTCACAAATGAAATTATCAAGTGATTCAGAAGGTCATCATATTCCTTCACTGATATTTCCTAGAAGTTCGCCATCACCTGAACCTGAAACCTCGTCACAAATGAAATTATCAAGTGATTCAGAAGGTCATCATATTCCTTCACTGATATTTCCTAGAAGTTCGTCACCTGAACCTGAAACCTCGTCACAAATGAAATTATCAAGTGATTCAGAAGGTCATCATATTCCTTCACTGATATTTCCTAGAAGTTCGCCATCACCTGAACCTGAAACCTCGTCACAAATGAAATTATCAAGTGATTCAGAAGGTCATCATATTCCTTCACTGATATTTCTTAGAAGTTCGCCATCACCTGAACCTGAAACCTCGTCACAAATGAAATTATCAAGTGATTCAGAAGGTTATCATATTCCTTCACTGATATTTCCTAGAAGTTCGCCATCACCTGAACCTGAAACCTCGTCACAAATGAAATTATCAAGTGATTCAGAAGGTCATCATATTCCTTCACTGATATTTCCTAGAAGTTCGTCACCTGAACCTGAAACCTCGTCACAAATGAAATTATCAAGTGATTCAGAAGGTCATCATATTCCTTCACTGATGTTTCCTAGAAGTTCGCCATCACCTGAACCTGAAACCTCGTCACAAATGAAATTATCAAGTGATTCAGAAGGTCATCATATTCCTTCACTGATATTTCCTAGAAGTTCGCCATCACCTGAACCTGAAACCTCGTCACAAATGAAATTATCAAGTGATTCAGAAGGTCATCATATTCCTTCACTGATATTTCCTAGAACTTTGTCATCATCTGAACCTGAAACATCGACACATTTACCCGTCCCAAATGACAGCATGAAAACGGAATCAAAAAGTAATTCTAGTCCTTCAACGGTATTTGCTATAACTTCCTCATCTCCTGTTCCGCAAACTCCAGCCATTTGTGTCCAAATCTGCAAGTTGTTACAGTTTCTACTAAAATTTATCACCGTAATGCAATCCGGAAGCATTGACTACTATTGCCGAAATTCACAAGTTTCAGTGATCCAACGAAACATTTGATTTGATATTAATGAAAATCAACATTTGAAATAATTTAAAAAACAATAATTTTATTTAAATGTTTGCTTCTGTCTCGTTTCGTGCGATGAATAATGAATCACTGCTTTGATGTTTTTTTTTTTCCGCATTGTTTTATTGTGTTCCTCGAACGGCTTAGCCACTATTAGTGAATCTTAGTGTTTGGCACATATCTGGCAATTGTAAAATATATAATTTAAATTCATAAATTTCAAGGTGTTATCGGATCATTTGAAAGCTTAGATTTTATCAGCTAAATCAAACAACCAACATTCCTTAAATCCTTCACTGTGAGCTTCAGAATTCAAATTAATCACTGGAAGATTCAATGTTAATATGTCATCAGCAAATTACTGTTGTAGATCAAACTAACTTCGTTGAAATTACCGTGTTTTTCTCATTCGATTTCAAATCCTTCCTATTGGTTTGGTACTGTTAAGGTTCTTATCATGCTGTTTATCGTAATCACTTAAATTTAAGTGGTTTTTGTGAGATTACTGAAAAAGATGAAAAAGTTCTATCGCTATCCCAATGACTCAGGCGTTTTGCTTTTGGTGCACTGGCTTAGCTGCAAATTTGCGTTCAATTTTGTTCGTATCACTTTTTATTTATTTTAATGAAACCGTAAATAATGTCCGAATTTGATATGATATGGCCATACAGTTACTATTGTTTTTATTTCATTCTAATTGCTTTTTCTTGCTATGTTAATAAAGCATAAAGTAAAAAAAAAGATGATTTTTTTTTAATCTGAAACAAATACGGTGAGTTTAAAATGTTAGAAATATTGAAGTTTTGTTCAAATTAAAAAATAATTATTGCTCAAGTAATATTTGACTGTTTATTGATATGTGATTATTAGTGATTGAAAGAATGTTAATGATGTACGAAATGCAGCAAAATTTATTTTTTAGTATTTTGTAAGTCAGCGAGTGGAGTCATTGCCTAAATATTTTATTTTATTTAAAAAGCATTTCATAGAAATTCAAGTATTTGCGTAAAGTGAGAAATTTTGGCGGTTGATTTAATACTCTTCTGATATGTTTAATTCAAAATTAGTAAGCTAGATGTTCTTTTTATTTTTAAAGGTCAATTTGATTAACCTTTAACACTAATAATTTACGTTGTTAATAAGCTGGGAAAATTTATTTGCCACAGTGAATTTCATTTAAGAAATTTTCTTAAGTAAAGGAAAAAAGCAATTAATAAATTTGATTAAATATTACATCATTTTATCAATTTCTATTTGTCAGAAAAAGAGGAACAAAAATTTACAATTTCATTTAATTATTCCATAAAACGATTATTTGAAAAAATGTTTTTACGGAAATGAAGCAACTCAGAAGACTGAAATAGAGAAATCAAGAGTTAGTGTTAAATATCAATGTGAAAGCTATTATAAAATAAGTCATAAATAGAGTGGCCTTAATCAGGCAAATAATAATAATAATAGTAATAATAATAATAATAATAATAATAATAATAATAATAATAATAATAATAATAATAATAATAATAATAATAATAATAATAATAATAATAATAATAATAATAATAATAATAATAATAATAATAATGATAATAGTGATAATACAAGATTTGCTTATATGGTTGGAACTAAAATAATTCTTGCAAAATAGCAGTGCTTTTGCTTATTTTCTAATTTTTTTTCTCATCCTTTGTTTTTGTTTTTAATTTTTATTTGCAACCTTTTTACAATAATAACAGATAATTGGTTTCTTTTTGCTAATTTTTTTTCAAATTATTTATTTCTGAAGTAAACGTTACTTTTCATAATTTAATTTTTTAATGATGATAATTTTTGCATGGCTATCATATAGATATGTTACTTCTAAATTTCATTCATCAATCGACTTTTCATTCTAGAAAAAATAAAAAAACTGAACCGAAAGAAAAAAACTTGTGCATATTCAAATGGCTATAGGATTATTATTACTATTGTATTATTAAGTATCATAATCACCATATTTTTTCTTAATGAAAATTTTATCAATGATAAATTAGATATAATTTTTTTTCAGAAAGTTGTTAAAGGAAAGAAAAGTAGTAAACCACTAACAATAAAAGAAATGCCGCTTGTTAAAGAATAATAAAAAAAAGTATCACTTGTTAAAGATTTAATATCATTTCTGTATACCTATATTTTTTCTTTAATAATTTAAAAAAAGGAATTTTGATAAATTTTATTAAATTAATAATGCATTTTCTCTCTGTCTCCAACTTAGATTTTAGCTAGTATTACGAGAATTAATCAACATCCATTGGCTGGTTCGACTCGAATGGGATATGAATTACAGATTTGCATCAATTATTAACAATGGCAAAAGCATCATTTCAAAAAGTTCCAACATTAGTTGAAGTGCCATACCTGTTAATATTTGTGGTGTTATTTATGATTTGATACATATTTTTGATTTTGATTTTTATGATTTGCTGCATGTTTATTTTGATTTTTTTTTCTTTCCTTTTCTTTTCTTTACATTTTGTAGTATTTCTCATTTTAAAACTTTATCATTTTTTTTTTCAAATTGGTATAAATTATCATTTTAATTTCTTCAAAAAAGAAATAGAGAATTATAAGAAATAAAGAATTGTATATTATTAAAAAAATATATTAAACTATAAAAACTAATTTAATGTAAATGCCCATGTTTACTAAATTTTTTTTTTTTTTGTTTACATTCTATAGCAGTTATCATTTTAAGCATGTTACAAAAAAATTGTTAAAGTGTATAAATACAGTGAAAAAATTATTGTACCACAATATTGCTATAAAATAATTTAATCTATTTTTTTGCTGTGATACTTGTGATATATATTAAAAAAAAAAAAAAAAATAAATATTATTTCAGTTTTTTTTTTTATCATTTCAATGTAGATTAAACGAAATTAGGTAGTTAAGCTAATGTGAATGCAATATAATACTGATATGTTTTCAGATTGATTTATCAGTATCATCTTAACTAATTTCAAAAATTGTTAATTTGTTTTGAACTTAATCTGTATATAAAATTTAATATTTCAAAATTATACATAACTTAGTCATGTGGTTTACCATTCAATTGGGTGATTATTTGATCGTGGGAGACTCCATTGGAAGTAATAGTGCTCCTTTTGGCATGCAAAATACAATTCCCCAAATTTATTTTTCTCTAACGTGGAGTGATTGTATAAACCTTGTGCATCAGCTTGAATACGATAACGTGTCCTGATTTCTGCTGCGAAACAATATGTCCTAATTTTTAGATTAATTTATTCCTAATTATTTAATTATCAAAGATATAATTCATAGTGTATGTGTGCTTTTGTTGCCTAATTAGAAATAAAACATTTTTAATTTGTTGTGAAGAAATTAAGAATTTCTTCAGAAAATTTATTTAATTATTACGATAAATAGGGTAATAATAAATAAATAAATAATAATACGCTGAATGAGGTGTGGAATAACAGAGGAATATAATAATTCCTCTATTAGAAGAAACAATAATACAGTAATTTGGCAGTGACGAATCGTAGTTGTATCACAAACTTGTCGAGAGCGAATCCGTCGTTCCCTTTATCAAACTTGTCGAGAAGCGAAGACTCGTTGACCTATCTTCGTTTTTAGATCAAACAAACAATGCTCTCCTTTTTGGTGCTTTGTGAAAACAATGCCACTTTATTGATGATACAAAATAATGACGCCTTATTAATGATCTCTTTATAGCAAGCAATATGAATAAACAAAATGTATGTAGTAGATAAAAAAAAATATATGTTAACCCTGCTAAAGAGTAGTCGGTCTTAAAACAAAAGGTTCAAGGTACAAACATTACTTGTAAAATTTTATATAAAGTATTTCTCAGTATCGCGACATAGAATTCGCGACACGATATCACGAAGATGTTTGCCAATTTGCTGCTGTTATCATTGTTAATTAATTAAAACTATTTTCACATATCAATTACATAATTTTCAATAAACTCTGGGAAGTGTTTTTTTAATTTCATAATGAATATAATTATTATTTTAATTCACGTATAATTATTTTGATTTAGTGTTTTCGTTGTTATTTATTTATTTACTATTATTATTATTATTATTATTATTATTATTATTATTATTATTATTATTATTATTATTATTATTATTATTATTATTATTATTATTATTATTATTAGTGCTGTTAATGTTAAACATTTTTTAATTGATTAAGTTATAATAAATATTACATAATCATAATTCATCGTAATTATTAGTTTATCTTGAAATATGGCTTATAAGCTTGATAGGTCGCAAAAATAAGAAAAAGAAAACGAATTTTAGTAGAAAATGACTAACATTAATTTTGAATATGAGAAAAGGATAAATTCGCTCGTGACATTTTTATACTGCGATAATTTTAGAAATACAGTATAAATATTAGCATAGTAAAATTATCAAAGTTATAATAATTATACAATAAATATGAAATGATTATTGTCTCATTAGCAAGAATAAGTCTAAAAAACTAAGATTTAATGTTAAACTTATTCTTGACGTCAAAAATAATAAAAGAAGTTAAGTTTAAAATCATTAAACTTTTAAGCAGTAGAAATAATTAATATAATTGAAAAAGAGGGAGGGAGACAGGGAAAAAGAAAGAGGAGATAAATAAAGACAGAAAAAGAAAAGCTTGAATACAATCAAAATGATACTGTAACTAATAAATCATCAAAATTCGAAAAAAAGTTTTTTTCTTTAATAGCATTTAATCAATACTTTTCACTTGTTATTTTTTTTCCGTGTTCTATAGAAATTTGTCATACTGTGAAAAGTTTCAAAAAAAAAGAAAATCTAAAAACTAACTACGAAAAGAAGGAAATAAAAATTATAGGATATAAGAAAATATTTGAACACAAACATTGAATATTCTCAATTGGAAATTTTGAGGAAAAATATCAAAACTGATTGGATGATATATGAAAAATTTTCTATTTTGCCTTCTCTACTGGTTCGGAATGTGTTGCGCCGCCTGAAATATTGAATTTTAATAAGCTATATTTTCTGTAATGTTTTAATATTATTTTCACACAATCATGATTTAGCAATTTTATTTAATTTAATATTTAAAAAAATGAACATAAGTGACATTTCTTTTTAAATTTACTCATCTTTAATTTAATTATTTTTCATATCCTATCATCTAAATATTGTAAAATTTCTCAAATTTTATCATAAAATAAAGTTGATAATGTAAAAAAACTCGTTGTACATTGGAATTCACAGAAATACTATTCAAGATAATATTCTCAAAAGTTTAATATAAGCTAAAAACTTACTAATACTGCTAATTATTTGATCATAAAGCAATCAAAAAATAAAAATGATTAAATGATTCGGTTAATGAAATGATTGATATGAAAGAATGTAAAATTATTTATCATTTTAGGAAGCATACTTTTAACATAAAATTTTGATTAATCTTTTTTATCACTGTAATTTGTTAAATTTTGAATAAGAAAGTGAGAAAAAAAATTCTTTAAATATTTTTGGATAAAATAATTTCTTCAAGATTATCTAAATAGAAAATATTATTTAAAAAACTTCAATTTAATTTTTTTAATTAAATATAAAATGATATAAACAAGTGATAAGCTTACCCCAAAGCATAACATTCATCGTATCACCAAGAATATATATAAGCCATAAGAATATCAAGGATATAAAAAACATTATGGTAAATGCTAGCACTGATAAATATTCCATAAATGGATAAAGCCAATAACCATCAAAATAACGCACTCCAAAAATGCTTTAAAAAGGAAAAATGAAAATTACTCTATCATTTGAAGTTAGATACATCATTTAAATTATATATTTTCAAAAAAAAAAAAAAAAAAAAAAAAAAACGAGTTGTTTTATGTTTATTTATTACATAAATTATATATTATAATCTAAAAGAATGATATGGATGAATTACTAGAAATAAATTTTGTTAATCTTTCTAAAATAATCATAAACTAATTTGATGTCGATTATGCACAGATACTACAATAATTTAATTGGACAGAAAATTTTTTAATCTATATGATCAAATTTTAAATCATATATTTTTAAATCTTATCATAAAAAATCAATTTACATCAAGTGATTGTATTTTGTGGAAGAAATTTTAAAAGTTACAGTTAAAAATGTACAAAAGAAAAGAAACTTACATAGAAAAGTAGAAGATAACCAATGCAATAATGATAATACTACCAATCTTTCGTGAAGGTGCTCGATGACAAGTTAAAAGTGTATCAACAAGAATGAATGGTAATGGTGCAGTATGAGTGATATGATTCATAAAAGGTGGAATTAACTCTTCCGCCCATTTTGGTATTACTAATGTTGGTTCCAAAGCATATAAAGACCAAAAAAGTAAACAGGTTATCTGAAATTTGTGGAAAATTTTTATGAAATTATATGAAAGAGAATATTTCAGTATTTTTAATTATTTTTTTTGTGGCTTAGTTTGTTTTAAATTAATCAAATGTCAAAAATTTGTCGAATTAAGTATTATTAAAGAAATAATAACTTCAAAAAGCACTCATTTTTAATTAAATCGTCTTCCATTTTTTTTTCGCTTAATGTAATATATTTTTTAATTTTATGATAAGCAAAGTGAGTGATAAAGAAGGATAATAGGATGAGGAGTAAACTTTGATAATAGCTTTGTTTAATTTCATTTAACATAGTTAGATGATATTAAATGAAAACTTCAAAAATTTGATTTAAAAAATTTTTGATTTAGTGAAAAATTAATAAAATGAAACATACAGCACCAACAGGTAAGACACTAGTAAAGTACATGAAATCAGAAATTCGATGAAGTTTCGAATTACGCCAGTAACTTGGCGTTGTCGGATGCTTTTTATGTGGTCCATAATCAGTTGTTTCACGCAATGTATCCATCAATGCACATATGAAGCACATTGCATAATATACTGTTTGTAAAACCTAAAATTTTAATTTAATTCAAATAGCATTCAAATATTCAATTACAATCATAAAGTAGTTTTTTCTATAGTAAATGAAGATGTATTACTATTATTAGTAGTAGAAGACATTAATTAGACCAATTAGTAGTGATAGGAGGAAAGATCAGAATTGGTGCTAAGAATAATTCAGAAAAAAACAATTAAATAAATAAACGTAAACAGCTAAAGTATCAAAAGATTGAGGAAATTTCAGAATTCATGAGTGTTCTTAAAATTGGAATAATTAATAACAATCCAATAAATGTGGAAGGTGAACAATTTTGTATGTTTTTTACTTTGGTTTAATTTTAGTTTATTTTGATGCTTGGCAATTTTATTCTACTTTGATGATTTAATAAATTACTTTTCGAAATTTTGATATTTTATAGATCTTTAATTTTTACTATAAAAGGATATGTAGTTGGTAAATATAAAAAACTTTCTTATAAATTTCATAAAATTTACAAATGTTTCGTTTGTTAAGAATTTTAGAAATTTTTAACATCATCAAATACAGCAATGGTAAAAGATTCCCTAAAAAAAAAAAAAAAAAAACGATTTCGGTTAACAATCTAATTCATTAATTTATTTACTATTAATAAAATTTTGAAAATACATCTTTCAAAATTTTGAAAAGAAAAAAAAATTTCGACTTACGCTAAATTTCTTCTCTTCAATCGAATAGATGCATTTTTAAATATCTCAAAACATTTTATAATGCCGAGATGAAAATGAAATAAAAGATTCTTATTATGTTTTATGAAAATTTCATAAGAATGAATGAAATGATATAAATAGTAAGATAATTAAAAGATTGATCATTTCTAACTTTTTCTCTCGGGAAATGTTAAAAGTTGTAAAGTTAGATATTTTATAAGTGTAATGTGGTTAAAACAAATAATATAATTAAAATCTTATCACGAAATAAAACGAACGGAGTACACGTGATATTAGACGCTTCTCCACATAATATGTGTTAAATCCTGAGTAATGCGTATTAATTTACGAGAGATAATGAAACTTGAGCTCCTTTTACTACTCTTTTTTTTATGATTAATTTTTTAGACTCAATATGTTTAATTATTTCTGTTTCTATTCTGTCCCTCCCTCTCTCACTTTTCCCTCTTCCTGTGTTTATATGGACATTGGTCATACTGTGTCACACTAGAAATAAAACCAAAAGTAGAAGATATTATTCTATGCAACCCGAAATGACAGTAATAAATTAATTTAATGAAAATAAACACGAAGGGAAAAGTTTGATTTTATTTTTGTTTATTTTTACTTTATTTAGAATTGTGATTAATTCAAGTGTAATGCTTTCCCTGCTAAAATTTCATATTATTACTACATGTCTTTTGCAAACTTTTTTTTTCTTTTTGTGCGAGATTTAAAAAAAAAAAAAAAAACTATGTAAAATTTTCAAGTCATTAATTTCATAATTACTGTCAATTTTTTGGACCCAATGTAAATTTTTCAAAGTTCACTTAATTGACAAATAAGTAATGGATCAATTTCGTTGTTATATGTGATTGAATGAATGAAATGAAAAAACGTTATTTTATGGGAAAAATTCTCGTCTGAATAAGTCTAATAAATCGTAGTTTAAAAGTTGAATTGAAGCATTACATAATATAAATTAAGTTTCCTCCAATAATATAATGATAATAATAATAATAATTTCTCTAATAATATTAAAAAAAATAATTCTTGTAATAATTATTTTCGCAGTTTTATGATTTTAATAAAGGAAAAAAATTACAGTTGCTTAATTTTTAACATTTTCTTCCAAAAATAGTTTTTTTGAGGGAGAGAAAGCAGCAAAATAAGTTTAGCTTTGTTTTTTTTTTGTTGGAAATAATACAAATGATTTCATCTAAACAAATCCATGTTCTTTTCATTTGTAAACCTTTAATTAATTAAAAAAAAAAAAAGACTAACCAAATCAATCATTGTTAGCATAACTAATTTGTAAATCCACCAGGTATATCCAATTCGTGGCATATAAATGATATCATAACCAAGCGCATACAAGAAAACACCAGCCATAATGCCGTATATTGTAACACGAAAAACACCCATCTAAGCATAATGATTAATTAATTTAATTAAAACAAACAAAAGATGATATTACTAAAATATCAAACGTAAGATGATAACATATAGTATAGGCTATCATTACAAAATGAAATGATAGAAGGATAACTGATATAATTTTTGAAATGATTTTAAAATATTTTCACTGAACTAATTTTAAATCTAACAAATGCAATATTAAAATTATTTTAGATGGTGTAGTTTTTAAATTTATCACAAATGGAAATATTCTAGGAAGGAATTTGATTATTGTGGATATTTTGCTAGTAATATTTAATAATTCTCATAGTAAATTTAATAAAATTTATTGTCTTTTACTAATTCTTATCATTGGAATAATAGGATGATTTCAGAAGTAATTTTATTTATAAAAAAAGATACTTATAGGCTGATTAGAAATAAAATAATAAAGTAATTTGGAAGTATTATTATGAGATATCATATCGTATTAAACTACTAAGACAAAAAAAAAAAATGATATTCCATTTGATTAAATTATTCAGTTTAAATGTGAACGTACTAATATATCTTTTGGGAATTTCAAATGAATGCAAATTTCAAATGATTATTAATTTTTAGAATACTTTGTAATTCTTACATGAATACTGTTAGAAGAATAATTTAATTGTTTTAAAGACTGCAAAAGTGAGTGAACAAAGATATTAGGAATAGATGCTATATTGATTTGATATAAATATTTCATCCTTCAGTATTAATTCATAATCGAAATCTTTTCATATTCCTTTTTAAATTTATGAAAACTCTAAATAGTAGAAGGAAAACGAAAAATTTTCAAAGGAAAGAAACATAAGAAGAAAGTTTCAAAATTAATCAATACTCTATGTTTCAACATTATTCTTTTTCACCAAATATAATTCTAAAACTTTTTCTCTCCCAAAGAAAAAGAAAAAAGAAAAAAAAAGAAACATATATAATTTGATTAGTGATTGAAATAAGGAAGGAACAACTGAAAAGACAACATCTTTATAGTAACTGGAAATGTTGTTTGAAGGAATTAGTCAGGACTTGAATAATATATATTTAACAGTTGAAATATATAATCAAGCCATGAGGCACGAGATAAGGAAAAAGAGGGAGAGGGAAAGAGTAGAGATACAACGGGTTGCATTTTTGGAAATTAAAAATTAAGTATGAGATGGAGTTTTACAAAGTTTTATAGATATGATAATATAATTTATAAAATTGAATCTTTCTTTCATTTCACTTTTCATACTTAAATAATGAAAGTACTGGAAATATAATAAAATAAAAGTATACACTGCACGAATTTTCAAACAAACTATGAACAACTATTTTATATAATTAATTAATTAATTAACGGAGAAAATAATAAAATATATTAAAATATATCTAAAATATCATTTCAGTGAATATAATGTAATTATAAAATTGCCATTTTTTTTCCTCTCTTTGAGTAATATTCATATTTGCTTATACAATATACAATCATTTATTTAAGATAGCAAAAGATGAGCAAAATAGACAATACATGTGGAATTTATTATAAAAATAAAATTATTCAACGACAATGATAAACGATAATAATGTAACGCAGCAAAATTTTGCATAATAAATTTTATTAATTTTAATAAAAAATAAAAAAAATATATTGTTAAAAAAAATATTATAAAATATTACAAAATATTATAATAAAAAAAATATTATAAAAAAAAAATATTACATAATAAATTTTATTAATTTTAATAAAAAAAATATTATTAAAAAAAAATATTAATAAAAAAAATATTTTTATAATATTTAATATAAAAATATTAAAAAAAGAAAAAAATATTCAATAATATTGAATGAGGATTTAGATAGAACTATCTTTTACTTATAAATTATAAAAACTTTAATAACATTGAATATTATAAAACGGAATAAGGAAGGTGAGAATTAGCAAAATTCACTTAAACATTTCATGTATATAGTTTCTTATAGTTTATTAATATTGATGTAATAATACTATTAATTATTATTATTTTTGTTATAAATATTATTACAAAAAGGTAAATAGAGATAAAGGAGTAAGTAGAATTTAAAGACTTACTTCACATCAAAAAAAAATTTTAAAAAATGCATTTTGAAGTTTTGTGGATTTTGGAAACATATTTCTAAAAAATCTCTTTTTTTTTCGAATCTCTTTTATAACATTTTTTACAGTTGATCGTATAGGATTTTAATTATTCATTTGTTAAATAAAATTTTTCTATTTGTTTTGCGTTTCAGTGTAATTTTTAAAGAAAGGAAGAAAGAAAGAAAAATTCTTTAAAGGAAGGGAGTAATTAAATCAGTGAAATAAATAAATATAAACCTTTTAAAGACATTTATTAATTAAAAAAGAAGGAAATATTTTCTTAATGAATGTGATATTCGATGAAAATGAAGTATTATTGAATATCAAGAAGCACAAAAATAAAAATAGGAAAAGGTTTAATTAGTTTCCTAGTAATTTTAACGACTATTAGAAATCAATGATTGTATAATTTCGATTAAATATTTTCCAATTATGATTACTAAATAACAATCATAATGAATGATGTTAGAATCAATTCTTTAGAAAGCTTTCTAATATTATCCTATTTTATTTTCATTTTCCTAACTTCAGTAACTTTCATTTTTCTAATTTCCTAGTTTTTCATATTATTAATTTAGCTTTTAAAAAAGAGAAAAGATATGGAAAAAGCCTTACAGGATTTCAATGCAAAATTAAATTATGCAAAAAAAAAAAGTTTTTTTCTCTTTCTTTGTGCAGATTTTTGCAGAGCATTGCTGAAAATGGGAAATTATGAGAGTAATGGAAGTGATATCGATTAGTTTGAAATATAAAAACTAATA